AAAGGGTAATTTATTTTGAAAAAGTATTTTGAAAATACCTATTTTGCTTTTAGTGTTATAGTACTTTAACTGTTATATTTTAAGTAACAATGTTTAATTATAATTAATACTACTGCACCAACACCCCGATCGTGCAAAAAAAATTGCTGTTTCATTATTTTTTAGTTCAATTAGTGGTCTACCTAAGTCCTGGGCTAAGAGGGGGGACGGAGGAGTCATGACGCCCCCATGACTCCCATGACCTCCATGACGCTCCCCTGGATCCGCCGTTGCGTCTTCTCTTTATTCGCTCAGTAACGTTGTTACAAAAGAAAAGATTCCCGTCCAAAAAATAACAAGTATTGAGGTTTGATCTGGAGTCACGTTACTCCAGACTGATTTCTATAAATATTTAGATTAGATAGACTATTATTCTTGAAATACTAGCTAGACATTATTAAGTTACTGTAGCCATAATGTAGTAGCCCAAACGTGCCAATGAGGAAGCCCTTGGCAAATGCTGCACCCTGATTGGCCCGTTTGAATTGGATCAAGAACTGCTCGTATGCCAAAAAGGTGGATTTGTATAAAATCGTGTATAAATCACTTAATTATTATTATTACTCGTCGTGACAGTTGTGGCTCAAAACGGAGCAACATTTACATATGGTCATCTGGCATTAGATCAACAAAAGGCCTCCGGATCAACAAGTGAAAAAGGATCAACAAAAAACTACCTATACGGCACGTCTGAGCCACAAAGTGCCCAAGGGGATATTATATATATATATATATATATATATATATATATATATATATATATATATATATATATATATATATATATATATATATTATATAATTTATAATCTATACATATAAATAAAATTGGAGTGTCTGTTTGTAATATTGAAATAACAGTTTTTTACTACACGCACATGAATATAAATACGTTACATACACCAAAATAACATTTTTTACAATTTTTCTCTGTCTGTCTGTCGGTCTGTTTGTTCCGGCTAATCTCTGAAATGGCTGGACCGATTTTGACGGGACTTTTATTGGCAGGTAGGTAATGTAATAAGGAGTAACTTAGGCTACTTTTATTTTAGTAAAATAACATTAATAACCACGCAGACGAAGTCGCGGATACAGCTATAAATATAAATATTGGTCTTGGACCACCCAGACGTGTTTATTATGTTATATGTGTGTTTACAAAAAAAAAAATATGCTAGTAGTATTGTAGTAGATTGAGTAAGTAGTAACAGTGGAGTACTCGACGACCGCGGTGGTCTAGCGGTTAACGCACCGGTTTATTTCCGATAGTCGCGGGTTCGATTCCTCGCACGGCACAAACATTTGTATCCATGAGTATGATTGTTTATATCGGTCTGAGTGTTTTCTATATATAATATGTATGTATTTACAAAAAAAATGAGTCTATGTATTTGTATCAGTTATCTAGTACCCATAACACAAGCTTTAGCTAGCTTAACTTGGGTCTAGATGGCGTTGCGTTGTTTGTATCGGTCTGGGTGTTTTCTATGTATAATATGTTTTATTTACAAAAAAAATGCATCCATGTATTTATATCAGTTGTCTAGTACCTATAACACAAGCTCTGCTTAGATTAGGACTAGATGGCACTGTTTAATTATAAAGGATTATCACACTTATTAAATCTTTAACGTAAGTAAAGTTTTGATATGGACGTTCCATATCAAAACTTTACTTAAAACCTAATTAATATCAATTTCCGATAGTGCCACAACCCTATTTAAAAAATGCAAAATACCTGGCAACATCGGTCATGTCAAAGTCTTCTGAATTAAAAAGACTATAAAAATTCAAAATTCAAATTCAAAATTTCTTTATTCATGTAGGTCTATTACAGACTCTTATGATATGTCAAATCTACCGTCAGTTCGGAATTATTTCAAGAGAAGAACTGACAAGAAACTCAGCTCGTTATCTTTTCAAATAAATGTTGAACGTGTTAACAATAATACACAATCATTTAAATTCAGATTTGGGAGAATAGAGTGACCAGCATATGCTATTGCAAAACACAAAAAATCTAATCTGCAAACAAGCAGCACCCGTTCACGAGTATGACGGATATATAGTAACAGAAAGGAGCGGTGTATTTTGATGCTTGATTACATATTACATACAAGGCCTAACTTTACGAGTGCGTGTTGCGACATGTCTCCCTTTGAACACGTCATGTTCGGTCGTGTCACAAGATATCGTTGCAGACTCGATGAGCATCTTCCCTGACCTGATTACCACCGGACGTTCACCGTTCACAAATTATTTACTTGCAGACACGATTAGAAACATAATATACTCGGCTCAGCCAGCCTCTGTGGTCTAGTGGTATAGTACACCGGTTTACTATCCGATGGTCGCGGGTTCGATTTCTCGCACGGTACATATATTTGTATTTATGAGTATGATTGTTTGTATCGGTCTGGGTGTTTTCTATGTATAATAATTAAACAAATGTATTTGTATCAGTTATCTAGTACCCATAACACGAGTTTTAGCTAGCTTAACTTGGGTCTAGATGGCGCTGTGAATATCAGGACAATTCACACAGCAACAACAGACAATTTTTTTCTAAATACATACATATTATACATAGATAACACCCAGACACAAACAATCATACTCATGACTACAAATGTTTGTGCCGTGCGAGGAATCGAACCCGCGACCATCGGAAGTAAGGAAGTGTATTAAAACCATTAGACCACCGAGGCCGTTCGCCGTTTTTAATCTATACATATAAATAACATTGGAGTGTCAGTTTGTAATATTGAAATAACCGTTTTTTACTACATGCATATGAATATAAATGCGGTACATACACCAAAATAACATTTTTTACAATTTTTGTCGGTCTGTTTGTTCCGGCTAATCTCTGAAATGGCTGGACCGATTTTGACGGAATTTTTATTGGTAGGTGATGTAATAAGGAGTAACTTAGGCTACTTTTATTTTGGAAAATATTTTATTTTAGAAAAAATAAAGTTAAATTCCACACGGACGAAGTCACGAGAACCGCTGGTTAAGTAATATAATTAAGTAGGGCCCTAAATAAATTTAACCCAGGGCACCACAAATTCACGGTCCGCCCCTGAATATATAGATAACAAATTTACTTTTACATAAATATATACATACTAGCTTTTGCCCACGGCTTCGCTTGCGTTAATTTATCCCCTTAGGGGTGGAATTTATCAAAATCCTTTCTTAGGGAATACCTATGTCATAGTAACTTTATGCATGTAAAGTCTCAGCCCGATCGGTTTAAAATTGACAAATTTTTATCCCTTATTTTATTCTCTTGGGGGTAGAATTAATCAAAATCCTTTCTTAGCGGATGCCTACGTCATAACATCTACCTCCATGTTAAATTCCAGCCCGATCCGACCAGTGGTTTGGGCTGCGTTGATAGATCACTATGTCAGTCACCTTTGAGTTATATATATTTAGATTATACTAGCTGTCCCGGCAAACGTTGTTTTGCCTTAAAATAAAAAATAAAAATTTAGGGACTACCCCTAACATTTAGGGGGATGAAAAATAGATGTTGGCCGACCTCAGACCTACTCAATACGCTCACAAAATTTCATGAGAATCGGTCAAGCCGTTTCGGAGGAGTATGGGAACGAAAACTGTGACACGAGAATTTTATATATAAGATTAAAGGTACTATTGCAATTGTAGATTATAACTACTAACTAGATATTTAAGTTTTACTGCAGTATAATAAACTACCTACTAGGTCAGCGGGTTACAAGAGGTACAGACGAGGGAGGGGGGGGTTGCAGCCGGTATGGATTACAGTTCAATTCGGAGATTAACATCCAATTCATACATCAAGCGCAGTAATATATTTTTAATTGAAATGCCTTATGGTCGCTCCACATGCACGATTTCCAATTATTACTAAATTAATAAAAAATCCATGTTATCATAACTGTTACTGAAGCGGGAACACAACTACTATTTTACCAAAATATTAGTAAAAATGTGTATTCTTCCCAGAAGGGCTCACAGCGAGAAGTAACAAAACAATATTTGGTCAAAAGTGACATATAAAAAATAGATATAAAAAATATAAAGTTTGTAAAAACAATGGTAGACAAGCTGCCAGTAACAATAACCATTGGATAAAGTATAAGAGAAAATTAAATCGAAATCGCGGAGATATTTTTAAGAAAAATTAATTATTTATTTCGAGGTTGTTTTCTAGTGTACTTTTTGCAATTATAATAATTTATTTGCTCAGGAACACAAAAAGCAGAGGGTCCCCAACTTTTTTGAATTGTAGACCCTTGCTATATTTTTAGGTCTTAGGTAGACCCCCCATTCTTACCTGGTATAGATTTCTTGTAAATTTCTAACTGTAGTAAAGTTGAATATTAAAAACATAAATTCAAATTCAAAAATCATTTACTCATGTAGGACATTTTAGCCGCTTATGAACGTCAAGTTTTTACATTATATTTTTTTCCCTACCGTCCAGTTCGGTATATAGATCCAATTGAGAAGAACTGGCAAGAAACTCAATTGAATTACTATTTTTTTAAAAGCCAGTTTTTTTTAAACAACAGGATGGCCACTGTCGTAGTCCTCTTGCAGTTTGTCATAGACCCTTGAGGGTCGATATAAACCAGTTTAGGAATCACTGATGTATTTTTTTTTTTTTTTAATAATGCTTTATTCATGACCATGGATACAAGTCCTTCAGTCGATGAATTTAATACAAAACATAAGAAATAAACTATTATACAAGCTTAGACAGTACAATTTTAGTAATTATTCATTAATATTAAATTTTTTCCACAGTATGTACAATGTAGTTATATATTGGAATAAAATATGCAAAGTGAGATAGCAAATCTTGAACGCGGCGGGGAATACTTTGTGAGTGTTCCTTTGCGATGTCACTAATGTCACTGATAAGAATCAACCGTTGTATGTTGAAAACTTGGCATTATATAATATGGTTTATGTCAGCATTTATCTTGAAACAGTGGTTGCATCTGTTGTCATTTGTGATTTTAATTCTGTTGAGATGGGATGGAACTAAACAATGGCCGAAACGTAGACGATTGATGATAGTGATAAATTTTCTATTGTAATATTTGAATTTGCTGTACCAAGGTGTCACTGGTAAGTCTGGCTGTAATTCTGCATACCATTTTCCTTTATTTTCTGTGGTTATGTTCCAGTACTCTTTCCACACTCTTCGTAAGTTACTTTTAAAATATTGGTAGTAGTCGGTAAATGGCACTTTCAAAATGTCTGTCTGATCTTCATCATATTGTTGACGAGTTGCCAAGTCTACGACCTCATTTCCAGGTATGCCACTGTGTGAGGGTACCCATACAAATTCTACATTCTTATTTTTACTTAAAGTTATTAACCTATTTTTTATTTCATATATAATATAATTTTGTTTATATGTACAATTGCCACTGGATAAAGTCTCCAATACACTCTTCGAATCAGTAACTATTAGTATATTTACATTATTTACAAGGTTATTAACATATAACAAAGCACTTAATATAGCATAACTTTGCTGTAAAGATGCTGCAATTACTTTTGAGTTTAATACATTTAGTATATTTCTTTTGTGGATCATAATAAGCTGCTTTAACATCATTTAAATTTTTAGAACCATGTATAAATAACATAAAATTCTGATTTCTTATTTAAAAATTCTGCAAAGTCATATTTGTTATATATTAAATCTAAATGAAATAGTGTCAAGGAAACAGATTAGTGAATCATATGGACATTTGTATACTGTCCATTTGTCATTTATATATATTCCACCTGTAGCATTTTTAACATGTGTCATTATTATTGAAATTTCAGGTAATGATCCTGAAATAATAACAGATGCTGATATGGGGGAACCTACAACTAACTGAGAAAGCTGTGCAGGATATAAAATATTTTTAAGCACAATACTATTACTGGAAGATAATTCCTTTATACAAAATCTTTCTGCCAGTTGCAAACGTCTTAGAGACAATGGAGGTATACAATTTTCAACTTCCATACTATTTATAGGCGTGGAACGCATATAATATTCTATATATATATATATACGTGGTACTAGCAGTCATATAGGCTAAACTACTATAATCAAAATGACTTCTGACTATGCTTTTATACAGTATATTGAGTGTTTTGGGATCAGAGCCCCAGTAAGTTCCTGCTAAACATCTCAAAATATTTATGCTCCTCATTGCATTTTGACAAATGTAATCTATATGTTTATCAAATTTTAATTTATTGTCCAAAACTATACCTAAAAATTTGTGTTGATGGACAATGGGTATTATTTTGTTATTATACATAATTTTAAGATTAGTTTGTGTGAATGTATCTCTACTAAATACTAACACAGAGCTTTTTTCTGAACTGATTTCTAGTTTTAGAATATTTGAATAATACTTTTGTAATTGATTTAGTGCAGTATTTATATTATTTATAGCCAAAGGCAAACTTTGACTCTCAGTGTATAAAAGCAAATCATCTGCAAACTGTAGTATGTTAACTTTTGTAGTATCCACATAATTGAGGATTTCAGATGTATACAAGCCATACAATAGAGGGGACAGGGTTGCTCCTGCATTGTTCCCCTGTTAACATATTTAGGTCCATGTAGGATATTATTATACTTAACATAAACAGTTCTGTTTTTTAAAAAATTAAAAATCCAGTTTAATATTTTGCAGGGGAAATTTAAATTATGTAGCACATGAATTAAGGATTCTATATTTACATTATCGAAAGCACCTTTAACATCTAAAAATACACACACAACATTGGAATGACTTAATTTTGCTTTTTTTAATAGGGATATAAGAGTTACAAAGCTTTCAGAACAACTTTTGCCTTTTCTGAATCCAAACTGAATATCTGGCAACTTATTCTGTGTTTCAGTAAAGTAGTCCAAACGTAATTTTAACATGTTTTCAAATAGTTTGCCTAGACACGATGACAAGGAAATGGGCCTATATGATGATGCACAGTTAATATCCTTATTTGGTTTCAAAATTGGAATAACACACTGGGTTTTCCAGGATTCCGGTATTATTAAATTCTCCCAAAGTTTATTGTATATATCTAATAGTATTTTAATTGCATTTGGATGTAGCTGTTTTATTAATTTATATGTAATATTGTCCAAACCTGGTGTTGTATCTTTCCTACTCTTAAGCGAAATATGAAGCTCGGCCAGTGTAAAGGGTCTGTTGAGAAAGGAGTCACTGTCATTTTTATCAGATTGATTCAATATATCAACTAAATTTGCATCATTGCATTGTGATGGAGCTGTCAACATATCTAAGAAACTTTGTACCCAGTCATCATTAAAATTTTTGTTGGAAGATGTACCTATCCTTTTAAACTTTTTAACGGAACTCCATATTTTTGAAATAGGTGTCATTCTATTGAAGCTACTACACAACTCTTGCCAGGAATCTATGCGTTGTTCCTTTAGAATTCTTTTTTTTTTAGCATCAACTTTTTTATAATTTATGAAGTTAACAATTGTTGGGGTAACTCTATATTGTAAAAGGGCTCTCTTAGACTGTTGAACAGCATCATCACATGTTTTGTTCCACCAAGGCACTGGTTTTCTTAAAGTGTCTATAGTTTGTTTAAACTTTGATTTTGGTACTGTCTTGTCTCTGATGTCATATAAAATATTAACAAAATTATTATAAAATTGTAATGGTGTGTCATTATTTACATTATTATGTACATTTAAGTGGGAAAAAATACTTTCTGATAAAGAAAAATATTTCGACCAGTCTGCTTTATTATATAAAAATTTTTCTTCTACAGGTCGGACCTCATACACTGATGGCCTCACATTTACACTTACCTGAGTTGGATAGTGATAGCTGCCCATCGGGTCATCATGGACTTTCCACTCACAGAGAGGAGCTATTCGGGGACTAACTAATGTTATATCTATTGCTGATGCCTGCCTGTTTGATGATTGAATGGTGGTTGGACTACCATCATTTAACACACATAAGTCAAGTTCATCTATGAGATTGTATATGTTATTACCTCTACTATTGTTTGTATGACAACCAAACAAAATATGATGTGCATTAAAATCACCCATAATGAGACATGGCTTAGGAGCACTAAGTAGAACTTTTTTCAGTTTGTTGGTATCAAATCTTCCATTAGGAGGACAATACACACATAGTATGTTTAATTTGCCTATGGATGTTTCTATTGCAATACATATATTCTGAACTGATTCATAAAAAGTAGTAGTTATGATATTATATTTAAAATTTTCTTTTATTAAAATACCCACTCCATTGTGTGTATTTACTGAGTTTTTGAATATGAAATTATAGGATGTAAATTTAGGAATTTTACTGTTACTTTTAAGCCATGTCTCATTAATGAGACAGATATCAATATTTTGTTCATTCATGTATTTTTGCAACAGAGCTTTTTTACTCTGTAAGCTTTGTATATTAAACTGGGCTATATTTAAGTATGTATTCATTAAATTAAATTTGACAACAATATTTCTTTTATTGTCTTATTAGTTATTGACATTTTCTCTTTGTTGTTACCGAGAGCAACAAGAGATTTAACTAATGCATTAATTATAATTTCATTATTTACAATTTGATCTGCATTGAATGCAGTATTATTATTATTTACATTTTGTTTAAATTGTGAATTATATACATTTAAAGATTTCTCTAAAGTGGGATATACTTTTGGGGTTGTACTACTTGAGGGCATACTCACAACAGCGGCATAGGAGTGATTGACATATTTACTTCTATTTTCTTCAATTTTCTTCTTTTTAATGGGACAATCTCTCGAAATTGCTAAGTGGTTACCACTACAATTGATACAAACGATTTCTTCTACATCACATTCTTTGTATGAGTGTTGACCAGCACATGATGAGCACATCTGTGAGCTACGGCATACTTTAGCTGAATGGTTAAACTTCAGACATTTGTAACATTGGACTAATGGTGGAATATAAGTGTGTACAGGATATCTAAATAATTGTATGTAGGCATATTGTGGTAAAGTGGTAGCTGCAAATGTGACGGCTACAGTGCCCAATGGAGATAGTTTTCCCTCTACTTTTTTCATAAAACGTTTGATGGATATCACTTCGGTACCACAACTAATACTTTTATAAATATCTTCGTTGGACATGTCTGTCGGTACGTATCTTATGATACCAGTTTTTTCTGTGATATATGCTGGTACAAAAGCCTTGAATTTATACTTGTTTAAAAAATTGTCCATTTTTAAAAAATTATTGGCTGGTGCGGGCTTTCGAAAGGTCACACCTATTTTATAGGCGTTTACTCTGTGTACACCTGCAATGCCTTTCACATTTTCGGTGAATAACTTTGTTAAAGTAATGGGGTTTTTATTCCCTACTTTTTCATTTTCTGTAGATTCTACATAGACAACACAATCTACACTATGATTTTCAGGAAACTGTCTTTTGTAATTGGGTTTTGTATACATTTTATAGTCCTCGGATATAATTAAATGATTCGGCGACATCTTCCGTTTTTTGCCGCGTTGACTTTTTCCACGGTCGACGGGGTTTCCCCCGTCGCTACTATCACTCATTTTCTTTGCTTGATTTATTATTTAGGTATTTACAATAAGATATACAATATTTACAATAAAATTACAATTAAAATAAAAAAATCAAAAAGGAGAAAATTTAAAACACCCGCTCAATTTGACTTCCCGCCAAAAAGTCCTCACTGATGTAAAGGATCATGTGTTGCCATTGCAATGGCTGTTGCTGGCAGCATGTCTATTATATAATTTTTATATATTTTGCGTTTTTGATATCTGTTTGAATAGTTATGTACTTTCGCTGTGAGCTCTTTTGTGCAATATACACATGACTTTTAATAAAATAGTAGTTGTTCCCGCTCAAATCGCAAAGGCATCCAAAATATTATTGTTTGATTTGTAATTTTGTAACAATAAATGGTAAAAGTACTTTTTTTGTTGTAATTGTTGCAATGTTTGTTATTTTTTTGGTTGTTTAATGTGTGTTTTAGTTTTTTAACATCTACCGAATAAATATCATTTCATCGTGAATTTTCACCAAGCATTTTTTACGATGATTTTCAGGGGGAACCACATGGTAGGTACATGGCTAGCAATGGGGTTTTTATTCCATACTACTTGTTAGCCTTCTCCTTCTAATATTATATATATATATATATATATATATATATTATAAATATGTCAATGCTGCCACGTTCTCTGGCAATAACGCGATGTGTCAACTGACCATTAAAATTATATGATACTCGTGGTACCATTACCGTCACGTGCACGGGAGGGCGACCCATTATATCGCTTGCAACACTATACCCATATTTGACTAATCCTTACTAATTTAAATGCGAAAGTAACTTTGCCTGTCTGTCGCGCTTTCACCCTAAAACTACTGAACCGACTTAAATTAAATTTCTTACACAGATAGTCTAGATCCTTAGAATGGAGGCTACTTTTTATTGCGAAAAAACGATTGTAAGTCGTTGTAAGGGAAGGTGAAAAGTTGTATGGAAGTATCGTCAATTTTCATGTTAGAAACTTGAAACTTATCATTTAGCCTATTAATTAAATATAAATAAATATAACATTGAAAGTTTGTAGAAAAATACCTTTAAGGGGGTAAAATAAAATAGGGGATGAAAGTTACGCTAATTTTTCTTTTTACAAGCTATTTTGAGTTCGAATATTAAATATTTTATTCTGTCCAAGATCACTATTCCACTTGAATGAAATGGCGAGTACAGCTAGTTGCAAATATATATTTATTGAGACATTTTACCACCATAACTGTTCAGTAATCGTTTGATCATGATGATGTACACAAGCCACTGTTGTACGCCACCAATTTGATTGACTTCAATTATATTTAATTTTCCGAGACCTCAATCCTGCTAATATACTACCATGTGATAGGTATGGGAAACAGTTACCTAGATACATCAAAATAATAATTGCATTTAATAATGTCTAGTAAGACAAATCCAATATTGTGTACTAAGCACTGCTGTGTCTAAACTGTGTCACCCCACCTTACATTTTCCTATTGTCATTTAGTATATAAGATCAATATTTCTATGTAGGTACATACACCAAAATAACATTTTTTACAATTTTTGTCTGTCTGTCTGTTCGTTCCGGATAATCTCTGAAATGGCTGGATCGATTTTGACGAGAATTTTTTTAGCAGGATGTAATAAAGAGTTAACAGCGGGAACAGTTAGTTAATAATAAACTTACATTGAAGCACTTTTGTATAGTCACATTTTTTTAATCTACAGCTCATTCGGAAAACTTTCTCATCACAAGAAGAACGAGCAAGAAACTTGCGTGTTGCTCTTTTAAATAATTTTATTGTTAATTCACATTTTTAAGTTGAAGTGTGTGAGCACAAACTACCGATTAGCACTAATTCAATTAAATACTCAAATAGAGAAAACATTAAATATACAACCAACTGGTTGAGCAACTAAATAAGAGTAAATCAATCTCAGTGATAAGAGCAGACCAGTCCATACAAGCAGCACTCGTTCACGAGTATGACGGAGAACAGCTATCACTGCGCATCATTGATTAACTTAGGAGCAGTTCAAGTATTATGTAAGCACTATTGGGGGTCTAATTTGCTTATTTTGGATGAAATGAGGGCTGGGGGAATTAAGTATTAAAAAATAGATAAATATACGAAACTCCTAAGTTCTAACATCGAGTCACAAGTAACTTATTTAGAATGCATTAGCACATCGGCCGCGTCCCCGTCGTCTGATACGTTCTGATTGCGTAACGTTTATTGGATTATCTTCAATTGTAGATGTCGTAGCGTAATTGGGAGTTTGTGACCGTGAGCGAAACCGTACGGTTTAGTAAGCGAGCATTCATTATAGTGTATTAACTGTTTATAGATTTCAATATTTTATGTAATTAGATACTAGCTACTCGCACTTCGCGCGGGTGTACATGTATTATACATATAAACCTTCCTCTAGAATCACTCTATCTATTAAAAAAAACGCTTCAAAATCCGTTGCGTAGTTTTAAAGATTTAAGCATACATAGAGACGGACTTATCTTTGTCTTTTCTAGACTTTTCTTTGCTTTGCTTATTTTGGATGACATCTAGATGATGATTACGTCATCGGCAGTCATTTACTTTTTACACGAATGGCAACACTCACGTTGTCTTTGCTAAAAAAAGAATACATTAATTGAAAAATGTTTACCTAATCATGCGGGGAGGGAGTAAGAGCTTTGCTTACTTTTGCTGTTATTTTGGATGAAATGAGGGGTGGGGGAGTCTAGGTGATGATTACGTCATCGGCAGTCATTTACTTTTTTACACGGTTTACGGTTTTACGGTTTGGTGGTTTGTATTCACACACTTAAACTTAAAAATGTAAAGTAATAATAAATTATTTAAAAGAACAACACGCAAGTTTCTTGCTCGTTCTTCTTGTGATGAGACAGCTTTCCGAACGAGCGGTAGATTAAAAAAAATGTAATGACTATTCAAAAGTGCTTCAATGTAAGTTTATTTGAATAAATGATTTTCTATTCTTATTCTATTCTATTCTACAAGAACAGCAACCCTCACATTGTCACCTAATCATGGGGGGAGGGAGTAAGAGCTTAGCTTACTTTTGCTGACACGGGGATGGGGAGGTAAATATGTAATAAATCTGCTTACGCAATACTTTACTATACTTCTTCTTACGTGCTGCAACACCGACCACGGCGTTATGTACATTACGCCTACACTACGCTACCAAGGAACAGGACATTGTTGACTACATCCGGACTAAAAGTAACCTGACATTGAGGGTGACGCAGTTGGAATCGAGCCACAACGCGAGCTTCAAAGCGTTCGTGGCCCTGGTCCCCACCAACATGCTGCCCACCTTCATGAAGGAGGACTACTGGCCGAAGGCAGATTGTCGTCGTCAGTGCCGTGACCATAGAGACAATTTTATTATTATTTCGTATGTATGTTAGTAATAATAATAATAATAATAAAACTCTTTATTGCGCATAAAAGAAACAAATAATTACAAAAAGGACATAAAAAAAAGAAGGATATGCAAACAAAAGGCGGCCTTATCGCTTAAAGCAATCTCTTACAGACAACCAGGCAGATAGAAGCTTTGGGTAAGGGAAGGTAGGTGGCACTCTATAAAAAGTTATATATTATATGAATACTAAATATACATACATACAAATACCATTAATATACATATATAATTAATTACATGTCTAACAAAACAGGACATTACAGATAGATTTTTAATTGGAGAGAAAGTGAGATTTTACTAGTTTTTTAAAAATGGAATGGGATTGGGCAGATCTGATAGAAAGTGGCAAGGAGTTCCAAAGACGGATAGCCTGGACAGTGAAGAATTGGGAAAAGAAGTTAGTAGAACGAGGAGGGGTTACCAAACAAAGACGTCTCGTACTGCGCAACTCTCGGTCTTGCG